GCATTTCGTCCACCTACTGAGTGCAGCTGAAACAAGGCAGTTCAGATCAAGCCCAAGTCAAAGTAAACCACAATCACAACTGCCCGGTGAGACCGGGAAACCTGAGGAGGTGGGTGTTTAGCCCGGGCGTTCTTCGCCTTATCAAGGACTAATATGAAATAATAGGTGTGAAAATGTTATAACCTCTGGAAGACCATCAAACGGCGAGTAAATCCGATTTGTACGCAGTAACCCTTCCCTGAAGGGAGCACCTCTGGGCGCTACTCAAGCGTCCCCTCGCGGAAGGGCGACTAATACGAACTCTGTCACACGTCTTGCTCATTGGAAGAATGAGGTGTCATTCGTATCCGATTTGGCTTTCGAAATCTTTCTTCAGAATAAGGTAGGATTTTCCATTTTATCTTGAGCGAGTGCTTCACATATTCTATGTTCTTGTGCATCTGCGTAATGCGATATAACACCACGAACACGTGTTTTTACGTAAAAAAACAAGGGCGATAGGATTTAGCTGGAACTCGATAAGTGCTAATTTGTGGGCTTCTTCCTTCAGCCATATTAGATTCTATCGATGCTTAAAAATTACTGTTTGAGCACCCAAAGTTGAAGCGTCGGTTAAATCAAATCGGAAAGGGTTAGCTGGACTTCCCAGGGGTTTGTCAATCATTTGAGGAACCAGAATACGTTTTCGGTCCCGAGAGGGGACATGGTTCTTGATAGAAGACAGCTGCACTGAGCTGGTCATTATTCCGCTCCTACCTTCCATACCTTTTCCGATTCCTGACATTCAGCTCTACCCCCCAATAAGATTAAACACAACCGATCTTTGTATCGGTGACCACTGTGTTTGAAAATTGTGCCCACAGCCCATGAGAGAAGCACTCTCCACATTAGTGCTCGAAGGTAGCGATCCACCTGTAACTGCTGGAGGTAAGGTGAGTCCGGAAACAGTTTCCTTTTAGACAGACAAGTTATCGTTGTCTTATTCCTGGCCAGCTGCTGCCATGACACTCCTAGTGAACAGGAGCCTCTGGTTGACTGCACACTGTTTTCCATCGAGCGGAGAAGCAGAACCCTAGTGCATCCTCGTTGCATCTATTGCTAACTACATTCGCCTCGACTGATATTCGGAAAACAAGAATACTGGTAAATCTGCGGACAGAATTGCTCTCGCCTAACTTAAACTGGCCATTCAACGTTAGCCTCGATACCAAAGATGCAAGATCTCGCATTTTGAGCACACTTACACGGCTGTGAGATGTGTTTGTGGTGTCTTCGAGGGCTCACTTGTTGCATCTGTTTCTACTTTTTGAAAGCGGACTTAAAGATGTGTAATTCTTCGAATGAAGTCTGCCGGCTTCTGAGGAGGGCTTAGACTGCTGTTGAGAAGACAGCCTTTAGAAACCTGTACTCCATGTCACCTAGTCTGTTGTTGACTTCAGATCAATAGCTTGATCCGCTCACAAATAAGTCACCCTTTCTCAATATTACACCACAATAAGCTTCGTTTAAATGCATTAGTCAACCATCCTGGTACGCTCGCTGGTTATTCTCTCCGTGATGACTGACACGAACATTTGGGCACTGTTTTCACATCTCTTTAGCAATGTATGCATTCTTCCACGTGGCGTGCCGCAACCATACACGCACACACACATCGTCTTTGTCGTTCATACAAGCCGCCCGTGTGAGATTTCACTTCGTTAGCTGAATGAAGATCACGCTTCCTCCCAGATACCCTTCACTCTACCTGTGGGCACCGGATTGCGTACTGGCCGCTCAACCGTGCGCCTCATCAACCAACCCGTTCGTTCTGTTCGGTTGAGCTGGCTTTCCTAAAGCTAGGACAAGTCTATCTTCCCCACTCACCCACCTACCCAACGGTCCAGTGGCAGTCCCGGATGTCACCCGATTCGTCTCTCCCACCCCATTCTCAACACACCCACACGCTTCAATGGGGTTCTGGCCGTCGGTTTCCACTTCAATGCTAGTGTTTCTCACTTTTGGACAACTCACAGTTCCGTTCACTCTCACACACACGAGCACCCCCCTCCTTACGTGACACGCCCTTGATGTTGGGATGACTACGTTTCCTGTCTCCCCTTGTTCCTTTTGGCTATATCGTTCTGTAGCGCTTGATCGTGTGTGTGTGTGTGTGTGTGTGTTCGTGTGGTCAACGTGTGCTTGTTAACATTGCTGGTCTCATACCCTGTCTGCATCATCTCGAGCAATCCTGGCTCCACATCTCTTTGTGGATGTAGATCGCATTAGGCAACCGCCTGGAACTTCAGACTTCTAATCACCGTCACCCATCGCTATTGATCTGTGGAATACGCAGGCAGCTTTCCAAGCATAACATACTAATAGGGTTGGTGAAAGCCCACAGACAGCTCTATAGTCTTCCCCAACGGTTTCGTAGGCATGGTGTAAAAACTGTTGATCTGTCGTAACGATCCCTGTGACCACCTCATGTCTGCTATGGCTGGGGTTTCAATTCACAAAATACCTCTGTATGTTGTCTTATTGAATTTAGCTCCAGAATACAACGAGTATTTTGGCTAATACAACCTTCAATGTATGGGCAACAGTGCTATCCAGTACACTGCTTGGCAATGTAGTCAAATAAAAAATGAACATAACTAAGCACTTGATAAATGATATGCGATAAATCATATGCACAATCAACAGATTGTGAAGCAAGTTCGCCCATATGCGAGTTACTTTCTGCTGGATACAACTTTGCAACATCACCCTAAATGGGTCAGATATGAGATTTTAAGCAACAATAGACGAAATCCAGTACTATTCACAGGATTGCTGGATACTCGCCGATATCCCAGCACACAGTCAGATATAACGGTTGGATTGCGTGTGGACAGGGTAGTTACAGAAAGGTCATTTCCTCCTCGGGTACGTTCTCCCGTGCTTCGTTTCAGATGATATGGCTACATCGATGTGACGAGTTTGTATTCTGGGCTGTTCATCCCATCCAAAGATAAGGTAGATTTTCATGAAGGAAACTACTCACAAGGCTGCTGAAAACTCTTCGACAGTCCTCGACCGGTTTTTGCCCTTCTTGGGGCTCATCAGGTAGGCGCAGTCCCCGAGTTTCCGTCAACCTTATGTTCTACTTGAACCCAAATTTGACTGTTTTAGCAACCTTGTGAGTAGTTTCCTTCATGAAAATATACTGCGATTTCTCGAATATCGTGCCAACCGAATCATGAGGCGGCCTGTGTGCAGCACATTCAGTTGTAGAATATCATAAACGAGAGATTCAGTTGAGTCTCGTGATAACCAAATTGATTTGCAAATTAGTGTATTTCTCGATAAAGTAGATTTGTACAGTGCTTGCGTCTATGGCTATCTGTATTAGGCCTTTCAAATTACTGAAGGCCGATGTGACCAGGCATTTAGCCTTTGACTTTCGATGGATCACAGTGCCACCATATCACTGTGGGCGTGGTTGACGCATCTTACTCGGTCTCTACAACTAATCAAACGTTAGGTTCGTAGCAAAATAGACCCTGCAGAGGATAACGAAGGCAAAAAATTCCACCAGATAGTGAGTGTGCTAGCAGTCACGAAAACGTGTGTGGCAGCAAATTTTCCGTTTCTGGTGCTGTGTACTGTCCTATTTTAACTGTCGTCCGTCCATCACTCTAACCGCCCTTCCAACATGGCCAATTTGTCGAGATCCTAATAAAGGGTTTCCTTTTGGTCGGACTATTAGTCGATATTTCACTCTGAGACTGCATTTATTTCAATCAAACAGTGGTATATGGGGTTCTCACTTGTCACCTCTCAGTCTCCAGAAAATAATTTAGCCCCAGGTCCAGGCTCCGAAATTATTGGACTGAAAGTCCTCAGTTGATCGCAACCTTTTCTATCTATGCACCGTTCCCAAACTACGCACAATTCCTCCACTCCGACTGTCATTGATTCTTGCTTAAATTGCTGATCTTTTGGATGACTAAAGTGTGGCTCGCTGTGTTCCGATTCACAAGAAACTGTTCTCAACAACTGTTGGATGAGCTCGCAAAGCGAATATCTGGTAGTCTGGATGTCTGATCACAAACCAGATTAATTTGAACTATCAGGCAAAATACGAATAAAAATGAGAACCATCCGAGACCTGGCGAATTGGTCGACACAACTTTTTGGGGCACACTCGTATCACATCCAGTCGACCACTTTCGTTCTCCTTAAACTGATGCGCGCCCCTGCGTCAAAGCAGGATAAAGGTGTGGAAGGGGAACATTGGGTGACTGAAGTCAGAGAAGCCCAGTTTTTTCTAGGATCGACCGTTTTTCGGCACTCAACTGAGTAACCGTTGGATGACACTATCCGATGTTATCGCAGGAAAGACTGAACAAAGAAGTTTCAATCGGTATCACATTTTCATTAACAAAAGGGGTTTTTGTGTAAATGTATCCTACCTTTGGGTCTGTTCGACGGAACTATTTATGCACTCGCCAGGCACTTGTTCATTCGTTGGTTATGTGGAACACAACACCTCTTCGCCCTATGCTTCTTTCTTTTGCAGTAAGTCCTTCAAATTGGAATCAAATACTTAGGTGCAAGGTTAACCTGATGCGCAGTCACACAACGCTAGTGATAATCTCCACACGTACTGCCTGTTTTTGCAAGCACTTTCCCGTCTTACGGGACTCTGTCCATAGTTCATGCACCCTTAAATTCAGGAACTTCCCATCGCGAAAAAGGAAGGGACTCATGCTTTTGTAGCCGGTCTCGACACCAGACTTTCGGGCTTATATGGAAGAATAATACGCTTATCTTTTTTGGAGGGGACGATGAGATAACCTTAAATCATTCCCTTCAACACAGGGTTAGTAGCCCTTTTTACCGACCCCCTTCTAGGTACTCCATCGCGATGATGCTTTTTTTACATGCAGGTCAAGCTTTTCGTGCTATGGCTTCACCTAGCTGGCAACTCGCACTGCAAGCCGCAGTGTCCGCGCGTACTGCACACCTTTGCGTACCTGAGCCAACACAGGCGAAAGACGACCACCCTGTGTGCGTACATCAGTCGATGGGTGGATGGATGGATGTTTCGATGTGACCTGCTTTTTGGTCACGTTGCGCATGTGATACCCCAACGGACTTTCGCCATGTGCCGCATGTCGACCATCGACCAATCTTGTCGGTCCGTAATCCCCAAACCGGTTCACTGCGTAACCGAGTGCGCCACCATACCCAGTCGCTAGCTTGTATGTGTGTACGTGTGTGATGGGGTGTCGCCTGAATTGCTCGTATGTTTGGTGATGATGGCTGTTGTCGTGTGTACGCACCCGTGCGTAAATGTTCGCCTGAACCGATGCTGATTTTGCACCAGTTTTCCGATCATCGCGCCAGCGCCTTGCTTGGATTATGGTGGTGGTGGTGGTCGTTGTCGTACATTGAGCTGCTTGTGCACTGCTGGGTTGGTATAGAAGGTGCTATTCTCCATCCTGCTGGTTTTTTCGCTTCATGCTGTTGCAAACCGACCAAGGCAACGGTAACGATGTCGGAAATCGGTTCGAATTACCTGCGCGCGCTTAGACGAAATCACCGTGAGCCCAGTCAAGCGACTAGCTAGCCAGACACTCCCCCCGCGCGCGCATACAGATGAACGCACACACACACACATACACAGTGGCACCGCAGTGTCCTAACGTACACCATGCGTTTTGGTTGATGTACCGAACTGGATTTGCTTTCTGTTCGTAGACGTACAACCCTAGTTTTCGGCTACTATAGCATAATATCTGAGCCATGGTAGCGCAATGCAGACAGATTCCCTATGTAATTTTCCTGTTTAAAGACATACCTACCAGGAACTGTCTTGCAAGAGCCCCTTCTTTTGTCTCACATCGTCCAGTTATCTCGGGTATCCATTTAGGTCTCTCACGTTGTATTTTTACGCGTTTGCCCCGCAGCTGGATTCGTAAGAGTCGAATTCCATGAGCTGGCTGCTGGACCGAACCGAATTGATGTTACGTTCGACTATGCATTGTTTAGTCTTACGGTAAATGATTCGCAAGCGTCATAAGTATACTACCTTCTTCATCTCCAACTGCCTTTTCTCTCTTCTTTTAGTACAAATCAATGGAGTTACTTACTGCATACACTGAATAGTACAAATAATATACTTTCAGAATACCCTTTGAGTCTATCTATCCCCTTACCCCCAGTCTGTTTTCAGACAGGTCGATCCTGCATTCGATGTCCACAATAGTATTCAGTCACTTTGAATCACAACTTTGGGTTTAACTAAGATTCTTCATGGTTGTCTCATTCAATGAAATAGGTTTTTTCTAGACCCTTCGTTACAACCCGCGGTGCTCATTCGAACCTCTCGGAAATACACATCTGTTCAGTGAACCAGCCAGCCAACCAGCAGTCAGGTTGTGTTCGTATCTTTTCCTCGCTTTTAAGCTGATCACAAACATGTCGGCCAAACAACAAAAATAAACGTGCTGTTTATTACTTATAAGCAGATTCTTTCGCTCATCATAGAGAAAGCTTCTGGTACAAAAACTTCACTATTCGAAGAAGTGTCTGCTTTCACCTCGTTTTCCGGCTCCGTCACGGGAGACGAACGCTTACTGTTTCTCGATCGGATTCAGTCCAGAAAATTGGACATGACCCTAATATTGTGGCTTACGGAAGAGGTTTCTCGTGGGACCAATCTGACAAATGGATGGTATCTGGTGCCTGAATTATTCAAGCGAAGACAATCATAACTCCTGCATTTGTCTCGTTAAATGCTTCAAACACCACCATTTAATGTGGTTTGCAACGGATGTGAATGAGCATAGGAAATGGATTATGCTGTTGCAACTAAGATAAATGTAGACGATGTTGGCGGTTTCTGGATATTTCCAGAGCTCCGCAGTATGTATTGTAATACCAGCTCCATTCAGACCGAATATGGATGAAGCAGTTTGTGAATCGCAGTAGCATCAACCGTTACTCGGATAAGGATCCATACGAAACCCGTCACCTTTCAATTGATTCCAGTTATGCGTATCTATGTTGCTTTCTTCTGTTTACTTTTTTAATTGCGCAAATAAACCCAGAATTCTCTGTTATCCCTCTTTTTCTTCTGATATTTCGCTTTATAGGTGATCGGAAAGGCGATGGATCAACTCCTGCCTCTTTAGGACCAGTTGGTTCCGCAGCGCAGAGCAGTTCCCCTACTCGGTTAGAATTTCCTCCACATACGGTGAGTCCTTCTTACCCAACTGCACATGCTCACACCATACTAGTGCCAAACTAACTAACCTCGGGCTGTACGTCAGATGAACAAATTCTAGAGGCATTGATCTTTTGGTCTAGTCTACTTGTCTGATCCGGTCATATGGAGTACCCTTTTTCGTTGCAGAAGGAGTTCCCGTGCTCATTATATTAGTGTTGATTGAGTGTGAAATAATTTGCCCCAGCTTATCTCCGTCCTTGGAAGTGATGAATTTATTTGTTGGGAAGGAATTCCTTAGTCTGCAGTCTAGTGAGGATTGTAAACTTGACCTCTCGCCTGATTCTGCTTCATGATGTGTTGAATGCGAACTAGGTGTGTTTATACAGGCAATTGCAATTTCTTGAACTTTTTCTCTCGGTTGGAGAGAGCCGATCCCTGAGAGCACCTAACAGGAGCGAATACGTGAATAATACTTGGATGACGATCAGCGCTGACTTTATGATATGAATGTTTTGATTCGTATATCGGGACGACGACTTCAACTTAATGAAGCATTCTTTACGACTCACCAGTTTTGTAGTCGTGCGAGGACGAAACAAGTGGATTTTCTGATGAGGGTTTGGGGATTGTCAGTCGGAGTGGCGCGATCAGCATGAGACCAATCACTATTTTCATCTTGGCAGGGCACGAGCAGGGTTCTGCGGTGTAACCCATTTTTTGCACGGAAAAGAAAAGTGAACTGCTTAGGCGCCTTTGTGACATAGAAGGGTCAAGAGTGGTTTGCAGAAGATGCCTGGTTTCTATCCTAATATTCGGCCCCCTCTTTGAAAGCTAAATGCGGCACTCAATGAAGACCATCCCCTCTATGTTTCGTTCAAAATTCAGTACCTCAGATTTGGGTGCATTTCAAAGGTGAAGAATGTCCCTTCAATAGGTCGACCTCGCCGTTCATCATGAAGAATCAATCCTTTTGTGCATTCTACTCAATTAGAGCAGTTTGGGCGCACCAGTTCCAGTTTCATGTTGCGGCACTGTCAATTCTGATGTCTGTACTTCAAAGGAGAAAGTGTAATATCCGTTCATTACCTCCATCATCCGACCAACCTCACTCTCTTGGTATGCCTACGTTCATCTTTGTAAGATCCCCTTTTGCTGGAGCAAGCATGCTTGTTGATTTTGCTTACATTGTGGAACCGGCCTCTCTCGCATTCGAAAATCACATTGCGCCTGGCACCCTTATGCATGCTTTTTTGGGTCGGTGTTTTAATGAATCAGCCACAAAGGTACTCAACAGAATGTCGCTGAATCTATGCACTGAGGTTAGCACGCCCGCGCATACTGTCTGTCGCACAATCCACGGGCACACCTTGTGATGGAACTAGAATATCAGGTGTGCACTATGTCAACTCGACGAACATATGGACGTTGTGAGCGAACCCGTGAGTGCTTTTCTAGCTGGTAAACAGCTCGTCCCCTCTCACCCACCTCCAAACCGTCCACCGAGACATTTCACATCGACGCAGTATCTTTTATCATGTCACGTGATCCAGATGCTGTTCCTTATGTGAAGGGAATAGCTCAGCAAAACCCGAAAAGCCACAGAACGGTGTTGGTGGTTGTGACGTGGTCACGTTTGATCACAATCCGACAGTATACTCCATTTGCTTCACAAACCACGAGCTTGGTCGATCGATCAGTGAACAACACCGTGTGTGTGTTTGTGTGGCTGTATGCAGCAACTAACCTGGATGACATGCGCGTAACCGGTTCCACGCCTGGCCTTGTTCGCCAATCGATTACCGCTGTAGGATAATGAGTAGCGCATTGCTTCTGTCGGTCAATTGAATTCAGATGTTGTCAGCGCTTAGAAGAGACCCCTCCCGCCTCTGTCTAAAAGAGAGAAACAGTTTCAGTCAGACAAAGTAGAGGCCTTGAGATAAACAAGAAGTCGAAAAGGTGGAGATTCTACACAGATGTCTCCTCCGGGAGTTGATTTCTGTCGAGTTTCATCACGTTAATTTATAGTACGAGTGTGGAAAATTGTCATCCGTCACCAGGTCATCTCCTGCCACATGTGTCAGTTTCATCAATGATGAACAAGTCATAATACAGTGCTCTCTCTGTATGGTAGCCTCCCCCTCGACAACTGTCTCATTAACATAACCGAGTAGCTGTGCATGACACCCACGAGAGTCAAGCTACTGGTCGCTTCCTATCTCTTGTGCAATACACCTGAGTTCGTTCAGCACTTTTTGAGGTATACCAGAGAGGGAGTGCCACTGGTCATCGACTTATATGCAAAGTCTTGCATTTGAAGTCCGTTCGAAACTCGGCTACTCCGAGTACGGATGAAACAGTTGTTCAGCGCCCTTCAGTTCCCATTTCTGAGTCGTGGGACCAATGCCGTCTTTGATAGCCTGAAGATAGAATTGACAAACCACCTTGTTTAACTGTTTAATTTATGAATACTCCCGACTGTACATTACTGACCTTCTTGATGTACAGTATGTACATGTAGGTACAGTATGTAGGTGGTAGATTGCAAAGACGGAGCCGCGTTGAAAATGGAAACCGCGAAGGATGGGATGATCTCCAAACCAGTTTGCTAATGTGCTATTGTCAGCCGTTCCATTACACCTGCCAGTTGTCTCATGCATGGTACCATAGTGTTCGCTTTCGCATAAAGTTAAGAATATGAATCCAACATCTACTTCACAACCAACAATGGATCAGTCAAAAATCAAAACCTACGTTGCAACGTACCAGTCGGTCGGACGCGGTTTGGCAGAATCAGTACGGTTTCCCTGAATAAATGCATTGCACCAGCCAGCGGAACTAGGGAAACTTAGCGCACCTGCTTTTAGGATATTGCTTGTTGTGCAGTTCTTAACTCTGAGCTATATATTGTAGCTATTTTTGGCTGAAACAGTTTACAGCTAGTTTCATTTCAGGCATCATCTTTGTTTTTTTAGGGGAAGAGGGTGTTACTTTGCCTTCTAATAGCATGAACCTGTTGTTCGTAGCTATCATCATCATCATCGACAGCACGACATCAGTGTTCAACACCGATGCTTCGCTGCCGTATAACCGTGATTTAATTGAAAGCCTTATTGTGAAAAAAGGAATAAGGGTGGACGGGGACGGGACTTAGTGCTGGCTACAATCATTCCGAGGTGCCTACACCTCCAAACACTCATTCAGGCAATCTGGTTAGAACCTGAGAAAAAGATCGCCGCTGACATCGGTTATAAGCCATATCTTGCAGCTTCTCCAACCAGGCGCAGTGAGGATTACGCGGTCCCCATCCTGGAAGGCGAGTAGCACGGACAGCACCCAAAAGTTTCGGGATTTCTTTCATACCCCTCTGCAAGATTGGCTTCAAACTAAAATCCCATGACCCGGCTGAGTCTGAAAGACTTGAGCTCCCGGAACCTTATCATAGCAGTGACCGGAGTATCACGGAGATACCAAAACTTTTCAGCGTAAGACATGCTGATGATGGGATTCCAATGGTATACTAGAATGTTCGGATGCAGAGCTTACTTCGAAAGAGGAAATGCAGTGCCGACAAAGTACGTGCCGAGATACAATCGCCCTCTGTGTTTTCCCGTAAGACAATTACCTCTGACAATAGCATGGTATTATCATCCTGGTAAAGAGTGTGTTTTACAACTCTTCAGTATAACCATCGTTGTAACTTGATCACTCTGTATGGAAGAGAAAGGGAAGGTAGTGATCCTGACAAACCGCGTCCGACCGACTCGTACGTTGCAACGTAGGTTTAGATTTTTGACTGATCCGTTGTTGGTTGTGAAGTAGTTGTTGGATTTCCATTCGTAACTTTATATGAAAGCAAGCACTATGATACCGTGCATGGGACAACTGACAGGTGTAATGGAACGGCTGACAACAGCGCATTAGCAAATAGATTTGGAGATCGTCCCATCCTTCGTGGTTTCCAGTTTCAGCTCGGCTCCATCTTTGCAATCTACCACCCACATACTGTACAGAGTGCAGCCGTCGAACAGGCTAACTAGATTCGATCGATCGCGCTATTGTGTTGCGGTAAGGGGTCCCGGTGGAACAAACCTTCGCGATCGAACGCAGCTGTCATGAGGCTGTGGGAGATGGGTATCGGAATCCGGTGGAAATTTTCCTCCCATGTCGTGTCAATTGTTATACTAGGTCGATGAGAGCCCATCATACGGCAGATGATCACTTGATATCGTGTCACTTGACCGCTCATGATTTATCTGCTTGGTGAATTCCGACAAGACCAAGTCCTGATTCTACAATTCTTTTGCTTCACGAGAACGACTACCTTGCATGACCATCTATCACGACAGCAACGCCTACCTGGTCTACGTCTGCATGTTCACTCAATGATCATCCTGGTTGGTCACAAAACCCCATGATGGCAAACTTCTCCACCGCTCCTTGTCCTCCGCACAACCTTGTTTCAACCTTAACTTCATTTGTCTTCTCAGAATACACTCACATACTGAATGACCCCCCAACCATCGCAACGCTTTCTTGTAGGAGTACGATACTACCGAATACAGTGGGAATTGTGTGTCATAGCAGTTGATGAAGCCTATTCATTTGCAAATCGCACCGATGTTGACAAGAGACTCAAACCAATAACGCCATTGTAATTTGCCGTTCGCCAGTACGGTACGACTTGATGTTCAAGTTGAATATAGTATTGATGGAAACTTGAGAACTGAGCCCACCTGGTGAAACGCAGGATGGGCGAAATCGATAGTGAATTATCGATGCGATTTCAGGATTAGCGTGTTCTGCGTATTAAAGCAGCTTTCTGGAATAATTCACCTATGTGACTCTCCCTTTCCTTGCTCCTGTGTAAATCTAGGTTTGGTGAGTCCAAACGGCACGACACAAGTGCACACTGATTCCCAGAAGTTACAAAAGAATTATGTTGTTGTACAGGGGAGAGCAAAAAATTCACCCTCCTTTGAAATCATGCCGCTTTTAAGAATGCTAGATGCATTTTTTGCACTTTCCTT